TTTGGTGCTTTGTTCCGATTTATGCTACTGCCACTGCCTGTTGTATTCTATTTTATATATTATGTCAAAAAACCCTATGTTGTAAGATTTCTTTGGATTGGTTAAACGGAGGCTGTTCAAAGGGCAACGCCCTTAAGGTGTTTGATAAAATGCAGCAATGAAGATTTTGATCAATTTTTAGATATTTATTTCCTTTTGAGTTTGTTGATTGAATCATTGAAATACTTTGATATTTATTCTTTATGAAATATGGTTTAGGACTTGAAAGTTATGAATAGATAATGAGTGTTAGTAAGAGACATCTATCAAACCTTTTGTTTTTGCAAATATCATCTCTAAATATTAGATTATTTTCAATATTTATGGAGCGTTGGAACATATCAAATGTGGAGTTGTTTATTTTATTTCATAGATGCTTTTAGCCATCCTTCACTTGATACTACATGGCAGCAGCCATCAGTTTGAAATTGCAAATATTTTAATGAAAGTTTGTTAAGTATTTTGATAATTTTTCACTTATAGCATTGTTTAGTATTTCATTTGGATGTCTTCTCTTATCAATATGATGAGTTTAGAATGCATTACATTGTTTCTTTTAAATTTGAAGTCTGATCTTTACGTCTATACTATTTCTGATTTTATGTATTATGTCAAAAAACCCTATGTTGTAAGATTTCTTTGGATTGGTTAAACGGAGGTTGTTCAAAGGGCAACGCCCTTAAGGTGTTTGATAAAATGCAGCAATGAAGATTTTGATCAATTTTTAGATATTTATTTCCTTTTGAGTTTGTTGATTGAATCATTGAAATACTTTGATATTTATTCTTTCTGAAATATGGTTTAGGACTTGAAAGTTATGAATAAATAATGAGTGTTAGTAAGAGACATATATCAAACCTTTTATTTTTTTCAAATATCATCTCTAAATATTAGATTATTTTTAATATTTATGGAGCATTGGAACATATCAAATGTGGAGTTGTTTATTTTATTTCATAGATGCTTTTAGCCACCCTTCACTTGATACTACATGGCAGCAGCCATCAGTTTGAAATTGCAAATATTTTAATGAAAGTTTGTTAAGTATTTTGATAATTTTTCACTTATAGCATTGTTTAGTATTTCATTTGGATGTCTTCTCTTATCAATATGATGAGTTTAGAATGCATTACATTGTTTCTTTTAAATTTGAAGTCTGATCTTTACGTCTATACTATTTCTGATATTAGAATGCAGAAATGAAGTTTTTATTCTTTTTTAGCTACTTATTTCCTGTTGATTTTCTTGAATGAAATACTTTGATATTTATTCTTTCAGAAATATGGTTTAGGGCGTAAAACTTATGAATAAATAATGAGTGTTTCTAAGATCCAGAACATATATATGATGACTTCATCTCATCTTCTTTTTATGCAGGGAATTTTGCTTTGTTTTAAATTATTTATTGTTGTGATAATTTAGCTTACCCTTACCTTCATCAATTCTTCCAAACGTTATAAATAAATACACCTGTAATTAGATAGTGCATTGAAGTTGCTGAGTTCAGAAAACTATGTTCAACTGTTCAGGTAGACATGGTTCTAGACTGAAATAAAACTCAACTTGTCATATATAAGATGTCTACTTCTAATTTGAACATTGTTGTTTGCCTGTCTCACTCTAAGTATTAGTCATCAGGAAGTCCAGCCTCTCAATATCTTAGCAATCACTAGATGACATTATTAAAGAGTCTTTATTGATAAGATGCTGAATATATTTGGATATATCTCAAACACAATGTATTCCAGATTGTGAAATATTAACATAATCTATTTTAGACTGCCAACGATGAAATCTAACAATTAACTCAATTTTATTTGTAAACTAAATTTAAAATGCCCCAATTCCAAATAACGTTCAAAGATTTTATTGTTCAAATATCCAGGTGGTAGGTGTTTTTAGTTGAACTTATTCAGTCTCGGAATAAATTCGATCAAATTAAAATCTGACAATAGTTTTATGTACATATGTCAGTTATCTATCAGACCAATCCATATTACTTGGAAAAAATTACTAAATTATTCTATTATATAAGTACATTCTTTAAGCAAACTAATTATTTCAAGTCAATGATGTTAAACTTTGACCGATTATATATTTATATACAGTAAGATTTATAATATACATGATATGAAAATCTTTTTTGAATATATCTCAAGCACAATCTATTTTTAAGTTGTGACTATATTCGACTGCACATATATTAGTTATCTATCAGACCCACCCATATTACTTCATACGACCTACAATAAATTTATCAGACCAAAAAGTTTTTAACCAATTACAAACATCCTGATTTGGATAAACTCTACTAAATTATTCTACTTCGTATTAAATAAGTACTTTCTTTAAGCAAGTTGTTTATTGAATACAAATAGTCCCTCTCCCACTTTTTATTTTAGCCAAACACTATTTTCTTTAAAAGAAAAAAATTAAAAGAAAAAAATTACCCATACGCAGTATTATGATTTAAAATGTAGTGGACAAATATATTACTTAGTAAATATTAGTGACTATAACTGTGTTCAAATTTATATTGTAGTAATTACCTGTAAATTACTACGATGAAACTTTGAACATAATTATAGTCACTAATAGTTTCTCCCTTCGCCCCTTTATAATTGTCCATTTTATCATTTTTGGATATCCCTTTATTATTGTCCCATACCATATTTGGTAACATTTGTGTGGCTCTAATTCATTCTTATTTTATTTACACTTTATCAACTAATTATCAACCACATAATTCTATTTTTCTTAAAAATCACACCACTCCCTTCGGTACCAATATTAAGGGGACGGGGGGGGGGGGGGGGGGGGGGTATTAAGTAATGTAACAAAATGCAATTGATTGACTCTAACAAAACTAAATATTCCCAGCCATGGAGATATCCGAAACTGGAGAATCCATTTGAACCAATGAGATAAAACGTATGAAAGCAACACTATTGCCGCAGTACAATTCTGAAGCATAATCCTTCCATTCAAAATTGTGCTTCTCCGGTAAAATGGCAAAGTCGTTTCTTATGTGAAACTGAGAAGCTGTAGCATAATTGACCTACGTGGGTTCATTGAAATCATCCTGCAGTATACACAAGTTAGCTTCCACAGGCAACAAATTTAATCCTTATGTCTTATGTGAAGAGAATCATGTTTGATGGCAGATAGCATATACATGTTATTTGCTTGAAACTTCAGGTGTAAGCACATATACTCATCTGCACCACAATTCATCTTTTGTAAGTTATTATTATTATTATTATTATTATTATTATTATTATTACTATTATTATTGTTATTATTATTGTTGTTGTTGTTGTTATTATTATTATTATTATTATTCTTGCTATTATTATTACTCTCAAAATTATTATTATTATGATTATTTTTATTGTTGTTGTCATCATTAATTTTCGCTTCATTGTAACTCTTCTTTCATTAAATTATCTAATAAAGGTTATTAATTAATAGGTATTTCAAGGCTTGGTGATATCAAATAGGTATATTATTTCCCAAACACTCTTATACCATTCATCGATGTTACTTTGTCAAATCTTACAAGTAATTAGTGCTCACTCTTAAGAAACCAAGCAATCAACAATTTCATTTTTTGGCTGTATTGGTTGAAGTTACTGTAGATAATCATTTTAGCTTTTTTCATATAATTTTATTTTATTTTATTAATTAAATATATTTTAAATTTAATTTTTTCATAAATCAGCAGAGTCAGTCAATTCAGTCGATTTCAGTGTTACCAAACAGGCTCTAAAAGATTTACAAAGTCTCAACAACCAAAAACAAATTTGATTTATAAAGTAAGAGATTAGGAGTGATTTGTGTTGACCAAGTAAATAGGAAATATATCTTACAAATTAGGATTGAGGGAATATTAGTTAAAATAATGAATCAAAGTTTATCATGTTTGAATGGAAAAATCAAAGATAACTAAATAAAAAGGGACGGGTGTAGTATTTTTTTACATACGTAGTATGTATTACGTACTAAAAATTAAAAAAAAATAATTGATACATATTATTACTCTTTAAAATGTGGTGGACAAATATATTACTTAGTAACTATTAGTGACTATAAATGTGTTCAAATTTATATTGTACTAATTACATGTAAATTACTACGATGAAACTTTGAACATAATTATAGTCACTAATAGTTATTAAATAATATTTTTGTTCATGACTTTTTTTAGTAATATTTAAGGAAAATCCCAAATTAATATATCTAACTAATGTCAATTTTACAAACCCATAACGGTAGCCGAATTTATAAAATTAATGCACTGATCGATTTTTTGGATCATACGATACTACAATTTGAATTGTATACATCATAGAAATTAGTCTTACACTCCTACTTGAACTAATCCATGAATTCTAATACGGAGTATTTGATTTTATCCTCTCAAACACCTTACACTCCTACTTGAACTAATCCACCAATTCTAATATGGACTATTTGATTTTATCCTCTCAAACAATTAACTAAAGTGCAGCCATTATCACACCTATTTTATAATGCCAAAGTATTATTAGAGATACTCTTAGAAAAGTAAGGTGTAGCACAATTGACCTACGTGGGTTCATTGAAATCATCCTGCAGTACACACACGTTAGCTTCCACAGGCAGCAAATTTAATCCTTATGTCTTATATGAAGAGAATCACGTTTGATGGCGGATAGCGTATACATGCTATTTGCTTGAAACTTCAGGAGTAAGCACATATATTCATCTGCGCCAGAATTCATCTTTTGTAAGTTATTATTATTATTATTATTATTATTATTGGTATTATTATTATTACTCTCAAAATTATTATTATTGTTATGATTATTGTTGTTGTTGTTATGATCATTAATATTTTTATGTTATTTTTATTAATCATAGCCCTCAATGAAGAAATTAACAAAATCAACAATACTGTCTGGTGGAAAGCTGCATCCATCACGTGATTCATCAAGGGTTGAACCCATAGATGATGCTGAAAATACAACTCAGTGCATGAATGATTTCGTCAATGTCCCAGGCAAGAGATCAAGAGTTTGTGAAATATCAAATTCCTCACAACCACCTACTGCTAGAGACAATAAATTTGGCACTCTGAAGCGAGCAAAATCTTTTAAACCATCGAGCGCGACTTCTAGGACCCCCCTGTCTAATGTCACAAATGGTATAACTATGTAATGTGATTATATGCACGTTACCAAAACCAATTTTATACTACTAATATAAAACTAATAATTTACTTATTTATTTATTCGTATAGCTTCTACAGCTGCTTGCTCAGTTTCATACGTGCTATCTGGACGTTTTGGTTGCAACAATTTCTTAAATGATTTTTGCTGTGACAATGAAGATGTCAATGCTTCGCACTACAATGTCTCAATGGATATTGCTCATTCTGGTATGTACTATATGATGGAAAATAAATATAGAAATTACAAATTTTTTCACATAAGATCACTTTCTTTGATTATATTTCAATATTGATATTGATATGTAGACAATATTATAACATTACTTCAATACTTATAAAAGGCACACATTGTGATGCTCCTAAAACTATGCCGGATGATGTAAATGCTTATCATGATAACTCTAATGATATGTGATTTATTATTGATATGTTTTCTCATTTTGATATATTCATATGCAAAAATTAATATTATAATATTACTTCAATACTTATATAAGGTACACATTGTGATGCTCCTGAGATTATGCCGAATGATGTAATTGCTTCTCAGGATAAGGCTGATGGTATGTGATTAATTATGGATGCTTTTTCTCATTTTGATATATTGATAGTGTAGAAAATATTAAAATATTAATTCAATACTTATATAAGGTAGTACACATTGTGATGCTCCTGAGGCTATGCCGGATGATGTAAATGCTTCTCATGACAACTCTGATAGTATGTGATTTATTATTGATTTTTTTCCCATTTTCATATATTCATGTGTAGAAATTAATTAATATTATAATATTACTTCAATACTTATACAAGGTACACATAGTGAAACCAATGCGACCGTGCCGAATGATGTAAATGCTTCTCAGAATGACTCTGATGGTATGTGATTAATTTTTTATGCTTTTTCCCATTTTGATATAATGTATTGTGTAGAAAATATTAAAATATTACTTCAATACTTATATAAGGTACACATTGTGATAATCCTAAGACTGTGCCAAATAATATAAATGCTTCTGATGATAACTCTGATGGTACGTGATTTATTATTGATGTTTTTTTACCATTTTAATATATTCATAATGAAATGCATTTAATCACAATTAATCCTCTTAGATAATGAAGTTCAATGTGACGATCTATCCTCTCAGGTATACACTCATTCATTATTTCAGGTTTATTTATTTTATATACTATGTATATACTATTTATTCCCCTTTTTAATGTGTGAAGTATTTTAATTAAATTACAAGTTTGAATGGTTATAATCGCAAATTTAGCCTAATTGTTTCTTTTTATAAAAGAGTAATAGAAATAATAATATTAGTATTAATAATAATAAAATTTATTGCTATCAGATGATGATGTTGAATTAGTATTAATAATAATAAATAGTAAAAGTACTAAGATTTAATGCTAACAGATGATGATGTTGAATGTGATGTTGACTGTCTCGACTTCTCAGCTCCATGTATGAAATAACTTTTATATTATCAACACCGTTTCTTAATCCAATTATTTACTCTGTTTTTTGTATTTCATTCTCAATGTTCGTTTTAAATTTATATATTTGGATATTTGGTTATAGAATATGATGATATTGGTGATCCTACATATGCTTGTCAACATTGTGGAGCAATATTTTGGTATGCCGAGCGTGTAGAGAAACACTACCGTCCAAAGGTCCCAAAATTTATGCTATGTTGTAATCAGGAAAACATAGTCTTGTCGTTTATGAGATCACCCCCAAAGGAACTCCACGATTTACTATTTGGGGCTAATGAAAGAAGCAAAAATTTTGTCGAAAACATACGTTCATACAATAGTATGTTTTCGTTTACATCGATGGGAGGAAAGATTGATTGGGACATTAATATTGGTACATCACCGCCGATATTTAGGTTGAATGGTCAGAACCATCACCTCATTGGTAGTTTACTACCATTGGAAGGAAATCAACCAAAATTCGCATAAATATATATAGCTGATGCAGGAAACGAGACGAGTAATAGGATCCAGTCCGTCGGGTAATTTCTTTAAAAACATTATAGTTAATTTTATGTTTCTTATTATAATATAATTGTTTACATTAATTACTCTATTACTGCTCGAGAGTAATTCATAGTTTTTTTTATTGAATTTTAATGTTATATATTCTTGAGATTGAGTCACTTATTATTATTTTTTACAACTCAAAGGGGAAAGCCAACAGATAATAAGTTAAATCCTGAGACCGTTCGTGAACTACAAAACATGCTCGATCAACATAATGTTCACGTTAAATCATTCAGAATGGCTAGAGATCGATTCAATAATTCTGATGTGGTAGATTTCAAACTGAAACTGATTGGCACAAGGCACAGCAATGGAAGGGTTTACAACGAGCCTGAAGTCAATGAAGTTGCTGCAATTATTGAAGGTGATATTGATGCATCTCGAGTTGAAAGAGAAATAATCTTGGAGAAGAGGTCAGGTAAACTAAAGCGAATAAATGAACTTAACCCAACATACATTGGTCTTCAATATCCATTGTTATTTCCATACGGTCAAGACGGATTTAGAGAAGATGTGCCATTGACACGTGCTGCTGCATCTACATCAAAAGGAAGAAAAAATGTCACACAGAAAGAGTTCTTTTGCTTTAGATTACAGGAGAGAGCAAGTGAGTCCCCTTATATAATGTCATCGCGTCGACTACTTCAACAGTTTTTAGTGGATGGGTACACCATGATTGAATCTTCACGTTTGGCATTCATTCGAACTCATCAGAAGGAAATAAGGTGTGATCTGTACAATTCAATGGATTTACGGATGCAGTAACACGTGGTGAAACTGATCTTTCAAAACTAGGGAAACGAGTAGTTCTTCCCGAGTCTTTCGTCGGAGGTGCACACAATACTATGCAAAACTACCAAGACGCTATGGCAATCTGTGGATGGGCCGGGTATCCCGATTTGTGTATTACTATCACATGCAATCCTAGATGGCCAGAAATTTTACGTTATGTCAAAGAGAGGGGCCTAAGAGCAGAAGACCGTCCCGATATCATATGCAGAGTTTTCAAGACTAAACTCGACCAACTTATAAAAGATTTGAAGCAAAATGAAGTGTTTGGTCAAGTTAAAGCAGGTACTTAATATGTTTGGATCTTTAAATTTTTATTCTTTGTAATTTCAAATAATTAATTATTTTTTCTTTTATTTGTAGTTATATATACGATAGAGTTTCAAAAGTGTGGGTTACCACATGCTCATATATTGCTTTGGAAAACTAACAAAGTTAGGAATCCGAAACCAGAACAAGTTGATGCGTACATATCCGCAGAGATCCCGGATGAAAATGTTGAACCTTACTATTATCGTGTTGTCAAGGGTTTAATGATTCATGGACCGTGTGGTTATCTAAAACCAAAGTCTCCTTGCACCATAAATCGCCAATGTACAAAGCATTTCCCCAGGAAGTTTTCAGAATCTGCTACAATTGATAAGAATGGTTATGCAGTGTACAAACGCCCAAATAATGGAAGGTCAGTAATAAAGAATGACATAGGGCTTCACAATGGTTATGTGGTACCACATAACAAGTACCTTCTGATGAAATATGGGGCACACATCAATGTGGAATGGTGCAATCAAGCTAAGTCAATCAAGTACTTATTTAAGTACATCAACAAGGGCCATGATCGTATTACTGTTGCCTTTTCGAAAGCTGCAGATAATACTGAAAAAAAGGACATTGATGAAATAAATATGTATTATGATTGTCGATATGTTTCATCGTGTGAGGCTGCTTGAGAATTTTTGGCTTCAATATACATTATAGAGATGTTCCTGTTGAGAGACTTAGCTTCCATTTACCAGGTGAACATTTTCTATTTTATCTTAGGTTTGTTAGTTTTAATATTTCCTTCTTTTTATTTGTTAAAATTTTCCATTCCTTGATTTACTTTTTCTTCCTTTAGATGTACTTTCCTTTTTTTAAAATAAAACTCTCCTTTTTTTGTTGAAAATTAAAATAGGTGAACACAATGTGTATTACTCTGGTACTGACTCTGCTGATGCGGTGATTAATCGCTCTACAATAAAAGAGAGTAAATTCAAAAAATGGATGGAGGCTAATAAAAAATATCCAGAAGCTAGACTATTAACTTATCCAGAGTTTCCTAGCAAGTTTGTGTGGAAGAACACAAGTAGAGAATGGGTGCAAAGAAAACGTGGAAGTTCCGTTAGAAGATTGTATTTTGTACGTCCTGGATCTGGCGAAAGATTTTTTCTGAGAACACTACTGAGCATTATTCGTGGGCCCACGAGTTATGATGATCTCCTTACTGTAAACGGTATACGATATGAGACATTCCGTGATGCATGTTATGCACATGGTTTATTAGGTGACGACAAGGAGTATATAAGTGCATTCAAAGAGGCTAGCCACTGGGGTTCTGCACATTTACTGCGTATATTATTTGTTATCCTGTTGATATCTGATTCATTCGTTAGCCCTGAAAAAGTATGGGATAAGTGCTTTGAATACCTCTCGGAAGATGTGTTATATAATAGAAGAAGACAACTTAATCACCAAGGTAAAAAGTTTTGTTATTAATTCTGTTAAGTTATTCCTTTTAGTTCATAGAACTAATCAATTTATGATAATTTTTTACTAATTTTCGTCTATATTTTGTTTCAAATGTTCTAGATTTGCAATTGACGGATGATGATATCAGAAATTTTACTTTACTTGAGATTGAAAGACTCTTGCGTAGTAGAGGAAAGAGCCTCCGAGATTTTCCTGCTATGCCCTATCCCAAAGATGTATCTTTTCTTAGCTCAGAAAGTTCTCTCATCAATGATGAGTTACGCTATGACAAAAGATCCATGGATGAGGAACTTTCAAACTTAATGAGTAAGTTGACTGATGAGCAGAAGTATGTCTTTGACACCATTATGCATGCAGTTGATTCAGATACGGGTGGAATGTTCTTTTTATATGGTCATGGGGGGACTGGGAAGACCTTCATCTTGAGAACATTATCTGCTGCAATAAGATCAAGAGGAGATATAGTGTTGAATGTGGCATCAAGTGGAATTGCATCTCTTCTACTTCCAGGAGGGCGAACTGCACACTCTAGATTCGCTATCCCATTGAATGTATTTGAAGATTCAATGTGCAATATTAGACAAGGAAGTCCATTAGCGGAATTAATACAAATTGCAAAACTTATCATATGGGATGAGGCTCCTTTGGCTCATAAGTTTTGCTTTGAAACATTGGTCAGAATCATGCGTGACATTATGCGGACGACCAATCCGCTGAGCATGAATCAGCCCTTCGGAGGTAAGTCTGTGGTCTTGGGAGGAGATTTTCGACAAGTACTACCTGTTATTCCAAAGGGTTCTAGACATGATATTGTTCACGCGACAATAAATTCCTCTTATCTGTGGGATTATTGTAAGGTATGTCATGCATTACTTTTCTTCAAAAGTAACTTTAAAATGTTAACCATTATTAATTATTAATTAATAATATTTAAGATGACCTTAAGGATATTTATATGCGTAGCAACTAACACAATTTTCTTTATTTTTTTCATTTATTTTATAATATTCTTTATCTCTCTCATGTTCCTCGCATTCTTTACACAATTTTATTTTATTTTTTAAATCCTTTTTATGTTACCAAAAATTTTCCTTCTATGGTCCTGTTCGTGTCATGCTCTCTTCACCGGACTTTCCGTATTGAATTTGCGGTTTAAGTTCTTCCCGATAGAAAATTTTAATGAAAAATTGTGAGAATGTTCTTCATAAAGTATAAAATATTACAACAAAATTTAAGCTTAAATTTTAATCTTCAAGTTAATTAAATAAATTATTGAAAAATAATGCGTTATTTATATATATAAAGCACAGTTCTTTTCAATAATTTATTTAACTGACTTTCTGATTGAATTTTCAGTTTAAATTTGGTGGACACTCCCTTATAGACCAGTTAGGTGTATCTCTAAAATTATTATGTTATTTGTGAGTTTTCAAAGTTTCTAACTCAATTTTCATTTTCTAATGACTTCTAATCTTTTTTAAGGTCTTGAAATTGACAAAGAACATGAGATTACAAGATCAATCTGGTGACCGTTCGTGCATTGAATTGCAAACTTTTGCAGAGTGGATCTTAAGTCTTGGGGATGGCATACTTGGTGAAGATAATGAAGGACATGGAATTGTTGAAATTCCTGAAGATCTTCTAATAAACAGCTCCACCGACCCTGTTGCATCTATAGTAGATAGTATATATCCCGATTTTACTTCACATTTTGGAGATGCAGCATACTTAGATGGAAGGGCAATACTGGCACCTACGCTTTCTATGGTTGACATGATTAATGATCACATGGTTTCGAAAGATCAATCTAATGTGCGCACTTATCTTAGTTCTGATGGAATTTGTCAGTCAGATTCTGATGATCAATCTAATGCTTAGTGAGCTACATACTCCAGAATTTTTAAATGGACTTAAATGCTCAGGAGTTCCCAATCATGAATTGAAGCTAAAAGTTGGTGTTCCTGTTATGCTGATGAGAAATATTGATCACTCATCCGGTCTTTGCAATGGTACAAGATTAATGGTCACAAGACTTGCTGATCATGTTATAGAAGCATCGATTTTGAATGGCTTTAATCAAGGGAAAAAATTCTTGATTCCAAGAATGACATTAACCCCATCCGATTTGAGTCTACCATTTAACTTTAAGAGAAGGCAGTTCCCACTTTTTGTTTCATATGCGATGACTATTAATAAAAGTCAAGGACAATCGCTTTCTAGAGTTGGAATTTTCTTGCAAACCCCGGTTTTTACACATGGACAATTATATGTTGGAGTCTCTAGAGTTACAAAGCGTGAAGGTTTGAAGATCTTAATATGTGATAAAGATGGTCGTTCTACAAACTCAACAACCAATGTTGTTTATAAGGAGGTTTTTAGAAATTTGGACTAAATCATTCATACTTCTAATAATAAGGTATGTTTCGTTGACTTTAGTCTATAAATTAATTTCTCAACTAATGTTATTCGTAATATTAATTTTCATTTCATTGTAACTCTTCTTTCATTAAATTATCTAATAAAGGTTATTAATTGATAGGTACTTCAAGGCTTGGTGATACCAATTTAAGTGGTATATTATTTCCCAACAATCTTATTTGATAGATATTAATCATCAATGTTACTTTGTCAAATCTTACAAGTAATTAGTGCTCACTCTTAAGAAACCAAGCAATTAACAGTTTCATTCTTTCGAATTATTATCAACAATCTTTATTGAAACACACTGATATTTCATTTCACATACTTTGTATCATTTATCAGCATTGTTTTTGTATTCTTTTAGTTGTACTTCTATGAGATGATTATGAATTTGATATAGCTCTTTACTTTATTCAACTAACATATGTCATATTTTTCTTATTGCAGCTTCGAGAGAGCATGTGATTTATCACTAATAATCATAAACTTTTTCAGGAGTTATGAGATCAATTTTGTACAAATCTCACCTTAATGAAATATATTTATGTTTGATATAAATTGTTGCTATATTACAAAAATCTCTTTTGATTGTTTTAGTATTAACATCTTTATTAAGTTCTTATTGATGTATTTATTAAGTCCCTATATGCGTGAGGATAAGTTGGACTACTATATTGATACATATTAAAATATAACCTACAAATTACTTGATACTGCGTACACTTGCATATAATCAACAATGTGAATTTTAATTTAATTTATTGATTGGGAAAATTCAAGTGATTTCTAAACTATTTCATAATTCCTAATCTCGTGCAACGCACGGGTGAAAGACCAGCTCCTATAAATTTCAACGGAGGCGGTTTTCAGATTAGTTGGGTTCCTATTTCCGAACGTGAAATTTTACTCTACTCAAACAATTACAGTGTGACACCATTAGATTTTCAGCTATCTAACCGCGAAGCTGTGGTCTATTTGATTGCCGACGCCACACGCGAAATTGTTCAATGTAATTGGATTATCATGTACACAGTGATTCACAATTAGGGTTTACTCAGACAAAGAGTCCAGTTGCGATTTAAGAATATCAGATTTATCGGTGGTCCGGTCACCAACAATAAAGAACTATGTCGAAGCGGAAGTTCGGATTCGATGGCTTTGGCATTAATCGACAAGCGACATACAACTTCGAGCGAGCGGAAGCTCCCCAGCGTCTCTACGTACCCCCCTCGTCCCGCTCCGGTGGTGGTCACGACAACTACGAAGATACGGACTTGGATAACATCGATTACGAAGAACGAGACGGCGATGAAAATATTAAAGATAGCAGCGCAGGTGCTGGTGACGACGATGAAATTGACCCTCTGGATGCGTTTATGCAGGGGATTCAAGAAGAGATGAGGGCAGCTCCGCCTCCAAAGCCCAAGGAGAAGCTGGACAAGTACAAAGACGATATTGATGACGATCCAATGGATAGCTTTTTGAAGGCGAAGAAGGATGTTGGGTTACAACTGGCTGCGGATGCTCTTAATGCTGGTTACAACTCGGACGAGGAAGTTTATGCTGCAGCCAAGGCTGTGGATGCAGGTCTCATCGAGTATGATTCCGATGATAATCCTATCATTGTTGACAAGAAAAAGATCGAACCGATCCCAGCTCTGGATCACAGTTCAATTGACTATGAGCCATTTAACAAAGATTTTTACGAGGAAAATCCCTCTATTTCAGGTACCAATGTTAGTTATCTTCTGTATACTCATTACAAGCAGGCGAAATTGCCATCTCTCTATCTCTCTATTCTCCATTTTCATATCTTCTACAACATTCAATGTAACAATCAGCTTGAGTAACATAGAAAGAAGTGCTTGCAATGAAAAAATGAATTCTTTGTAATTATATTGATATTTTTGATAAGGTTGTAGAAAAATTTAGAAGTTCTTTGAAATTGGGTGCAAGATTCGTTGTTGCAATACCACCCTCCTTTATTTGAATTAATTCCTCTCATCAACACCCCACCCCATCCTTATGGCACCAATCAAATTAATGACCATGTAATGATCCTATCCTCTCATAGTCAACTGCTTGTTTTAGTGGCTTCATGCTTGTCTATTTTCCTACACATAGAATTATGTATCTTTTCATTATCCTTTCAGTACATTTTTTAATAGAATTAGTAATTACTTGTATCTGTTATGTTTAGGCATGAGTGAACAGGAGGTTGTTGAATATGGGAATAGCTTGGCTATTCGTGTCTCCGGCTTTGATGTCCCAAGACCAGTGAAGACGTTTGAAGAATGTGGGTTTTCGGCAGAGCTGTTGAGAGCAATTTCAAAACAAGCATATGTAAAACCTACCCCAATACAGTGTCAAGCTTTACCTATTGCCCTTTCTGGGAGGGATATCATAGGTATTGCTAAGACAGGGTCTGGCAAGACAGCTGCATTTGTGCTCCCGCTGGTAGTACACATCATGGATCAACCTGAAGTTGCCAAAGAAGAAGGTCCTATTGGAGTGATATGTGCACCCACTAGGGAACTAGCACATCAAATATATGTGGAGGCAAAGAAATTTTCAAAGTCTCATGGTATTCGAGTCGCTGCTGTTTATGGTGGAATGTCTAAGCTAGAACAATTCAAGGAATTAAAGGCAGGATGTGAGGTTGTTGTTGCTACTCCCGGGAGATTAATTGACATGATTAAAATGAAGGCGGTCTCAATGCTGAGGGCGACTTACCTAGTTCTTGATGAGGCAGACCGGATGTTTGACCTGGGATTTGAGCCACAGATAAGGTCAATCGTTGGTCAAATCAGGCCAGACCGTCAAACCTTACTCTTTTCAGCAACTATGCCACGCAAAGTTGAAAAGCTAGCGAGGGAGATTCTTTCTGATCCTGTACGAGTCACAGTAGGTGAGATTGGTATGGCAAATGAGGACATCACGCAGGTTGTTGAAGTTATTCCTGCAGATGCAGAGAAGTTGCCTTGGCTTATTGAAAAGCTTCCTGGACTGATCGATGATGGTGACGTTCTTGTATTTGCTTCCAAGAAAGCCACAGTGGATGATATAGAATCACAACTTGCTGAAAGGGGTTTTAAAGTTGCAGCTCTTCACGGTGACAAAGACCAGTCTTCTCGTATGGAAATACTGCAAAAGTTCAAGTCTGGAACATTTCATGTCCTTATTGCTACTGATGTGGCTGCTCGCGGTCTTGACATCAAGTCAATCAAGTCAGTGGTTAATTTTGATGTTGCTAAAGATATGGATATGCATGTTCATAGAATTGGAAGAACAGGTCGTGCTGGTGACAAAGATGGGACAGCATACACTCTTATTACCCAAAAAGAGGCACGGTTTGCAGGAGAACTAGTCAATAGTTTGGTTACTGCTGGTCAGAACGTGTCTGCAGAACTCATGGACCTTGCGATGAAGGTAAACTGCACTTGACCTTTATAGTTATCTCCCACACACAGACACACACATCTTTGTTAAGGCTTTCATAATAATACATGAAGCACTACTATTCTTAAATCCTGTTATGATAATATATATATATATATATATATATATATATATATATATATATATATATATATATATGAAGCACTTCTACAGTCTTATTCTTAAATCCCGTTTGGTAAGGGTTATTTAGCTGAATATTCTGAAAGGAAAAGCGCTTGGTAAAGTCCTTTTTCAGCCAAATAAAACTCGAAATCTCTTCTTATTCTGCTCAATCTTTTATGAGCAGAATAAGGCACTTTTGCTGCCAAACGGGCTCTACTTTTATAAAAAAAACATTTTTCCTTCTTCTACTGATTGACACATGCATATAAAATAATCAGGATGGAAGGTTCCGTTCTAAACGCGATTCACGGAAAGGAGGTATGCATCTGTTGTTACTCATTATATGCTTAGTAATTGGCTCAGGATGATTGAGAGAGTACAAAGTTCAGCATGCGTATAGAAATTCTCGCCAAAGTCATCAAATATTCTAACTAAATTTTGCTGACAGGTGGAAAGAAGGCAAAGGGAAGAGGGGCGAGTGGTCGAGGTGTTCGCGGTGTGGATTTCGGCCTGGGTATAGGATACAGTGCAGAAGGAAGTAATGCTTCTCCGACAACCCCTTCTGCTGCTCCTAGCCGATCTGCGGCAGTCAGTTCACTCAGGACCGGAATGATGGCACAGTTTAAGAACAATTTCGTCGCTGCCTCCTCACCAAATCCCCAAAGCCAGGCATTGTCGAGTAACAAAAAAATGGCTTTGCCCGGATTTGTGTCTGGGGGAACCATTGGTGGAGGAGAAACAAACCCTTCTTCTCGGGCCAGTTCGACAAGTAATGTTGCAACATATTCTGCAGGGACTCTGAATTCAAGAGAAAATACCAGTAGCAAGTTGTCCAGTTCAGGAAGGTGAGCTGATTTCACTTGCGTAATTGCACTGAAACTTTAACCCAACTTTTATGGTTTTTTGGAGACGCGTATTGTGTTAATAGAGGTGTCAATGTTTCTGATGGAGTAAAGTTTGAGAATTTTTAATAATGAAAGTCATAAATCTTGTTAGGCATGTCTCCAGTTGTTTTTAATAACGTAGGTTGCTTGTCAGTGAGGGACTAAAAGAAGGGTTGAAAAAAAAATTAAATTTACATGGACTTGAAATATAAAATAACAAGTACTCCGTCCATCCCATTTAAAGGTTCCCACTTTCCTTTTTTTGACGTTCCAAACTTTATATTTTAGGAAACAATTAACACTCTTAAATGACAATTTAATCATCAAATACTAAAAAATATACATTTATAAAATCACAGTTATCATCAATAACCCATTATATTATATACTCATCAAAATTATTTCTCAAAATATATTCGAATTAGTATATTTAACTATTGTCTAAATAATCGTGTCATTTTGCCACGGGAACCTTTAAATGGGACGGAGGTAGTACTATATTTTCAATTTTACAAGCACTAAACTTGTATCGAGTCTTGTTTATCTGAGGATGGTGTGACGAGGTATCTGGGCAACTGCTTGCTACTACCTTTGCACTGTTTTTTATGCTTATACGTGATCATCATCGTTTTTGATATTGTTGTGTTGTTATTGTCACCGTCGTTACTGTTTTGCATGCAGCTCAAGAGATAGACAGAGAGAAAGGAGGCGGCCTTCTGGTTGGGACAATTGATTTTTTGACAGGCTGGTTTATATTAACAATACTGGATGATGACCAGTTCCAATTGTGTGAGAACTTGCAATAGTCCACCCCCCTTGTAGCCTTGTAGGTGACAATTTTGTTGCCTCGTTTGTAATGATATTGGTTGCCACAAGTTGGCTATGTATTGGTTTATTATTATTTTCCGTTGTTGTGTCTTTAGTGTATGTGCATTATTTTAACCGTAAAGATGTATAGACAGGGAGGTATTATCACTTATAGTCACACGATATATATCACCCTTGATCTCATCTGCAAAAAATCTGAATTAAATTGGTTTATTGGTAATAAGTATTTGTGTACTTTGAAAAGCATTGACATAACCCTCCTATCCTATATACCCCTCTTGCCTCATTTATTTGCACACCTTGTTTAACCCTCACCCGTCTATATACATTCTCACCTTATCTATCCTTCCCACCTTATATGTATTCATCTTTCGCTATTCTCCTCTCATCTAGGGGTGGACTTGGGCCGGGCCAACCGGCTCGGAACCGGACCGGCCCGCTACTGTGCGGGCCCGGACTGGCCCGGTGAACCAGTTTGTGCCCGGTTCGGGTCACCCGGCCTGGTGAGGTAGGCGGGCCGGGCCCGGTCCGAGCCAATTTTTTTTTTTGATTTTTTTTTAGGTTTTTGAGTTGGGCTGGGTATGATGGGCCATTTGAGGTGGTTGTGGTGGTTTGGGGTGAGGGGGAAGGGTTGGAGGTTAATTAGGAAAAGCCAAAAAAATATATATATAAGAACTGAGGCCCGGACCGGACCCGGGGGTTACCCGGCTCGGACCGGACTCGGGGGTTACCCGGACCTCCCCTTTCATGAACCCAGGCCCGAACCGGTCCATCCCTACTCTCATCTCTCTGGCCCCTACTTTTTCTTCACCATTAATGTGTGCATGACATTGAATCAGATCGGCCACACCGTTGAAACCACCATCCATTCGGATGAAGCATTTCAGGAAAGCTATTGCCCATATCTTGAGTGAAAGGGCCATGCAAATCTATCCCTGCAATTTTTTGAGGAGGGGGCGCAGACGGCCAACGCCGGAGGAGAAGACGAGGGTGGAAAGGCAACACATGCTTCGAGATCTGGAAAAACCCTAACTTTGAGTCTGTTTTTTTAAGTTGGGGGGTCAAACAAAGAGGAGGATTAGCGATGACCTTGTGATCCAAATGCGTACGTCGAGGAAAAGGTGACTAACTATGCTTAAACTCATCCTCCTTAAATTGTTTCCAGATACGTATATCTAACTCTCTGTAGCTATGTCCAAATTGTTTGGTTGTTTTGTTTTGGCTTAACTGATGATGCGAAACTATGGAGTTATACTTTCTGTGAATTCGTTTACCTAAATGTTGGAGGTCATATGATTGTTCTGATTGCCATCCATTTTTGGTAAATACATTCGGGGTTGATGGTGTTGATGTCAGTAATGTGAATCGTTAGCTTTGTGTGACATTGGTGTATTAGTTGACCCGTTAATTGTTCTTTGTTGACACCTCTATGATGATAAGCCCCTTTATCTCTGAGAGGTTGTATGGCTCTAATACAACCTTTGTTATGTCAATGGGGGTGTCAGAGAGGTTGAGAGGTTGGATTATATAATAACAAATAACCTTACATGTAGGAGGTAATATGATTTTGCTTGATTGCCACCCATGTTTGTGTGATTTGCACCTTTTGGACTCTATGATGACATATCATGTGTCTGAGAGGTTGCATGGCATCAATGCAACCGCTATGATGACCGAGACAGTGTCTGAGTAATGTATAAACATGCATTATCCTCGTGTCATGCATTTCACTCCCAAAAAATATGCTTCATTGAATAAATACACATGTTGTGCATCTTAGGGTTAACATATAACCTTTGTCACATTGTTATATACTTTTGGCTACATATATATGGTGCAGAGTGCAAAAACACAAAATATACTGCTGCCTAGATATATAATGCCTACAATAAACCAAAATCCAAACAACAACCCTCTATGAAGATAACTCACTTATCAGAGAGTCGTATAGGCACAACTCTATGATGATAAAGGAGTGAACGGAGAGGTTGATTGGCAAAAATGGATTGCTTCACCTGCTTAATGGGTATTTAATGTCCCATTGACATGTGTTATTGCATCCTGGACAATGCTTGTTTCGACTTCAATACTTGTAGGCAGGTTACCTTGCCTTGCAAGTCTATGTTTTTCAATGTGCATAAGCTTGTAGTTGTTGCCACCCTTGACCTTAAGCACTTCACTCATGATAAGTTGTAGTGTTAACGAAACATAGCTCAGTGTGGTGGCTGACAAGTTGTTAAATGCATCTTGTACATTACCGATCAATTCATCAACGGTTTTGCTACAACTTTGGTATTGCAATGATTGAAAGGAGTTGAAAACCCCCAAGTCTAATACATTTAGATCTGGACTATTAGATGGTTGCCTACCCATTGTTGTGTACCACCCCTCATCTGTTGCTGCCTGAATAAATGCTTCATCTTGTGTGCTTATACGAGGCCTAACATTGTCTTGTTGAATGATCACTTTCCCACCCAACTATGATGGCCACTTACTTTTTATAGTTGGGATCAACTTGGTTAGTAGCATGTTCTTGTAGACCGTTTTTGTGACTGATAAAATGGCTTGGTTTCCATGTATTTTTTGGCCTGTTTTTGTTGTTTCTGGTGGCTGCTACTTGTTCAACAAATGACCAAATGTCAATTTTCCCATCAAAAATAGCTTCCCATCTTGTCAATAATTGGCTTTCCCACTGCACACAAGAACATAACCTTTGTGATAAACCTCTTTCATTTTGCATGCCTGTCTGGTGGTTCCTCACCTTCATGCAAATACCATCTTGTTCACTTTAGTATTGTTAAACCATTTTTATCTATGTGAATATAAGCACCAAAGTCTTGAAAACTTGGATTTCCCTGAACTGAGGAAGGGATAAGGCGTTGTAAGCAAAACACACACATTGTCTTCTTGTTGTCATCAGTTAAAATAGGTTTTATGATGCTTGTATGTGCTTTCACTTGTCCCTTTTGCTTCATTCTGTGAAATGTGCTTCTTGAAATAGCTAGAGCATGAGCAGCTGACCTGATATTTGTCCTTTTGCTTAAAGGAATGTCCTTGAAAGTGTTAAGAGGAACACATATTCTTTTTCTGCCTACATTGCCAGTCAATTTGTGACTGACATCTATGCCCTCCCCGTTGTTTACCTGACTTCTTACAAGACTCCAAATTCTGGAAATTGCTCTTCTTAAAACTTGGAATTCTTGTGCAGCTTTATTTATAACCCCACACTGAAGTTCACCAAACCCATCAATATTTTTCAGGAAATACTCCTTTATGTTTTCTCTTTATGTATTTGATAATCTTTTTGTTCTTTTTGAAGATGATTCAGGCGTGGAAGCCATTACTTGAAGATGAAGTATTAGATAGGGCTCAATAAATGTTGTATATAGATGTAAAGCCTTGTGAAATTTGAATTTGTGTACTGTTCTTTCCTTCCTTGTATTTGGACCATATTGTAAAAATGAATGTTTAGGAGGGAATTGTGAAGTTGAAGTTAGTTTTCCCTCCAATTGAAACTTAATGATGTGTGGCTGGCATTGTTCTAAAAATCGTTCTAGGCGCCCAACTAGTCCCCACCTAGGCGTTAGGCAATGGCCGGGCACCCCGATTTCTTCTAGTCGCTCAGACTAATTGGTTTGTCATCTAGGTGAATTAGTTGGTCGCCTATGGCGTCTAGTTGCCTGCCTAGAGCGCCTAACGGCCGCCTAGAACTTCTAGATTTATCGAACATTACTTTACTTTTTATTTTTAATTTTTTAAGGGATATGAGTACTTAACTTTAGCCACGGATATAAAGAAATGAAGTTGTAAATTAAGATAAAAACTATATATGTTTGTGTATATACCTAAATTTTATTATTATTTATATTTGTTGGTCCAAAATAGGACGCTCGTAGGCTTTTAGGAAAGCTACGTACGACACTCAAGCGGGAATCAAGAAAGTAATATGAATAAGGAAAGTTGCAAAGGGGATTTGGTAGCCAGAAATAGCATATAGAAGTTGCCTCCCCTAATCTGAATTACATCCCGCCTTTTATAGGCGTATACAAATCATAACCGTTACCGATAATAATGACTAATTAATTACAACATTAATACGGAATTAAATACATAATTAATAGCGCATTAATTGTTCGACCGTTACTCTTCCGGGCTAGGAGGTCGGCCGGACTGGCAGGCTCCCTGCCGGGCTGGCAGGCAGGCTCCAGGTTATGAACTTGGATCCATGGGTCCAAGTTCGAGGCTTGGGCTGATTAGGCTCTGGGCCTATTCCTATTACTCCATCACGAGTCCCCCACTCCCTTAGTCGAGTAGTAGACTCGGCTAAGAGGGAGTAGTCCAAGTCAGTTGCTCTTCTCCGAGACTAGAAAATCCCCGCCCTTATCCATGTTGGGGAGATGCCTCATTAAAAACCTTCATTAGGAAAAAATCCAATGGGAAAAAATCCTAATGAAGGGAAAAAGAGTACATCTGACTCCCCCAAGATGAAGCAAGAGGTGAGATCCTCAGCCTTTATTGCAATGATCGCCATCTGCCAATAGTACGGCTAGAACTGTTCTTCTCGTCGGACTCAGACTCGTCAGGTTTGTCATTTGCTTCCTTGAAGACAGTAAGATCCTCAGTCCCCCACTTCATTCAGTTATACCTACACATAAAAGAAACTAGTGTAGAATAGAGCATCAGGCCTGGTGTCGAACCACGGCTCGGTGTGTAAGTGAGTCGGACTCACTACTTGAAAAGAATGACATCAAGTTCCCAAGTTAGGCCTCAACCCAGTCTCCGAAAGAAAGATTGAATCCGCGAGTAAGTGAGTCGGACTCCTCACTCGAATGGATAATCCAACCCCAAAGAACTAAAGTATATCAACCTTTTCGAGAAATGTGAATGTCAATTAAGTGACAAAATTGCTCGGAAGAGCGTGGCTCTAGGCCCCTAATAAGAGTTTAACTCGCCGCCCGAGGTTAGTAGTTCGAACCCGCAAGTAAAAACTTTTGAACGGGTGGCTCGTCCCCCGAGGTCGGAGTGTGATGCACTTGGAAAGGGTAAGAGCACTCAAGAACTCGTATGAAGTCAAGACTGTGCGGTATTAACATTATATTAGAGCTTATTAATCGCCACACCCATGTGACGTGACCCGGTGGCGCGAGTGTGTGTGCTCGGCTAGTGTACGAGTGTGTGTGCTCGCCCGGTGTACGTGAGTGATCGGATTTCATAAGCCCATTTTTCAATGTTAAAATTACACATGCTTAACAAGA